CAAATTATATTTAAGGAAAAAGGCTTCAGGGTTTTAATTGCAATTCCTGTATTGATGCTACTTTGCTTCACTGTCTGAGATATAAAATACATCTGCTCTGTGAAGGTCCTAAATTACACTGTACAATTTATGTATCAAAGAAATGGGAGGCTAAGATGTTCCTTTAGACCCATTCTCTGTCTGTTCTCTCTGCATGTTATGTCAGACAGATTAGGCATCAGGTATATACTGTATAAAGAGTACAGTGGAGTTTTTCAGTAATGATTATAGACAAAGCTAAAGATAGGATCAACTCCTCTTACCCTTCTTTTTTTATTGCTTAAAATAGGCTCTGTTTTTTCCAGTATTTTTCACACAGCGGTTTCAGGTTTCAGAAATCTTTAACAATGTTATTTCTCTGATCAAATTTAATGAGTATCCCCAGGCCTGGCCATTTTAAATTGAGTTAAACCTAGTAACCCTGAAGCCTGACCATTACAGTCCAGAAGAAAAGGAGACACCGTGTATGAGAAGAAGTATTGCTTTTGGATTTTATTTTTTTTTAGACTGAAAAAAAACCACCTTAGTTTTGAGAAATCTCTCTTGCTTTTCTCCTGCCCTTGTCACCCTGAAAGTGTGATAGAAACCTACAGAAAGTACTGAAGCTATAACGAAGCTTTAAAAATGGGAGAAAATGGTACCAACCAGTTTTGCTAAACCTTGACATCTTGGAGATATGGCCTGGATTTCTAAGTTCGGCAAGGCAATCAGAACTGTAATTAATTAATAATTGTCTGGAAATTAATTATCCTGTGGCTTTTGTGCTTCCTTATTCTTTTCTTTTTCAGGGCCATTCTTGATTGAGTGCATACTGTACATAAAATCAAAACGCATTTTGGCATTTGCATTGTAAGAGGAGAATTTATTTGAGAATGCATACTTTTTAATGATCTAGTACTAAAAAGTATGTCTATTTCAGTGTGACTTTTTTTGTGTGTGCCAAAGGAAGTGGGAGAAAGTATAGGAAAAAAAATACAGGTGGATCAGAGGTGGTATTCAGCAGGTTCCGACCAGTTTTGGAGAACCGGTAGCAGAAATTTTGGGTAGTTCGGAGAACTGGTAGCGGAAATTTTGAGTAGTTCAGAATACTACCTCTGACTGGCCCGCCCCCATTTATTCTCTGTCTCCCGAGTCCCAGCTGATTGGCTGGGTCTTCTTTTGTTGTCCTGCACAGGAGAACGGAGCTGGAAAGCAGGTTAGTTGTGTGTGTGTGTGTGGAGATTTTACAGTAGCCTTCCCCTGGAGTGGGATGGGAATGGAGATTTTACAGTATCCTTCCCCCTGCCATGCCCACCAAGCCATGCCCACAGAACCGGTAGTAAAAAAAACTTTGAATCCCACCACTGAGGTGGACTATGAAAAGGGACTTTTAGCTTCCAAAAGAAATAAGGGATCTTATCTTATTGTCTTTGAGAATCTCTGAAGCCATATGACATTTGAAATGGGTGAATTGCAGTCCTAGTTGAGAGGTTAATACTCCAAAGGAGAATCTGAAGCAACTAGGACAGAACACCACAAGACGTTTAAAAAAGAAAAAGAAACTAAAAGTGAATGTTAGCCACGGCTTTGCTGGAGGTTAAATGTAAAGATATTACCTATGTGTAAATGGTTCACTGACCCATAATAATAAAGCAGTGCTTCGGAAGAAGGGTAATTATCTAAATTTCTCAAACACCCAGGGGTAAATGCTCCCTATCTTTTCTTTTGAAAAATGAACTTGGATTAAACCAATGTGCCCCTGCCTATTTTTTTTTTTTTTTTGCCTTGACTCTCCCCCCACTTTTTAATGAGGAAAATTAATTAGTTTTCTTATTTCTTTATTCCTGGTGTAGAAATCAAGGCTCACTGCAACTTCCCTGGTTTCCCTCTGGGCTCCTGGCTCAGCCGGCGGCATCATTTATGAAGGCGTTTTCTCCAGCCTCCTGAAAAGACTAGCAAATAAATGATTGGAACTTATTAAGTCCTGCAGTTCCTTCTGTTGCAGGCAGACAAATAAACAACAGAGTCAAAAAAAGGGAATCCCAGCAGAAAATAGATGTGTTGTTTTCTAATCTCGCTTTGATTGAACGTATTTCCATCAATCAGCTCCTTTATGAAGCAGCTGTGCCCTGGTTATTCTGGAGTAAGTCCTATTGTGTAGATTGGTTTTTACTAAATCGGGGGTAGGGAACCACGGCCCTTTTATGACTGGTGGACTTCAACTCCCAGAATTCCTGAGCCAGCTCAGGACAATATGTGCAAAACTGCAATCTAATATGGGATTGGTTTTACCCCATTTTACCACACATAGGAATGAATTTGGGGGACTTATTTTCCTACGGGAATAGAGGGATTGGGTTAAAATGTTAAGCTGGAAAAAGGTCTCACTGCACTCAATCTAACTTACTTTGGAGGTGAGGTGAAAATCTTATATAGGCTTACTTGGATAACTTCCAAGGATCTGACTAAAATTGCTCCCAAGTAAATATATATTTCATGGTACAAGTAAATGCTTAAGACAGCAAATGTGTATGGAAAAAATTCTACTTGAAATATCGTAGACAGTATTCTGTGTTCCAGGAATGTTACTTATTAAGTTCCAAGAAATTTCAATGGGAAGGTGTCCCAGGGATCCTAAGAGTTTATGGAGTTGCTTGTATTCTGAGTACTCTGATTATTGATTATGCCAATCAAATTACTGATTACAATCCAAAAGAAAACGAAATGTGCTTAGATCAACATAAATCTCAGTTCTGGCTGTGGAAGTGATGCAGTACGCAAAGAGCTGCCCCAGCTTTTAACAGTGCAATGATTTGACTCTCAATGCCAACTTATTCAGCTTAGACTAGTAAATTCTATTTAAGGTCAGCTTTATACATTTATGTCATATATTTTTCAGGAATTTCTTCATGACAGTGAAAGTGGGTTCAACTCTACTTTAATATGTGCATATTCATGTGTGATTGTCTTTTTTTCTTCAGGGCTCAAACAGATACTGCATTTCAGAAAGAATTGTGCAAATCATCTAAAAAGCTGGGTGTTTTTTTTTCCTGACTCATTTCCACGGTAATCATATATATAGTTAACTAGATAAAAATATCATGGTACTCAGATTTACCTCTGAGGAGATGTGCATACAATTACATTGGCAACACACTTTATGCAATTTGAAAATTATGAAATGGAGTTTTATACAAAACCTTAGATAGCTAGTGTGTATATCTTCTTTCCCTAATTTCTGGATGTTCTTTTATTTCTAACTCTCAAATAAGTCTTGTGATCCTGGGGCTATTTATAAAGGAGGAGAAAATTTATTCAGTTAAAAAGTCAAGCATTTTAAAATGTATAGTCCTTCCTTCCTTCCTTCCTTCCTTCCTTCCTTCCTTCCTTTCCTTCCTTCCATCCCTTCCTCCCTATTTTCCTTCCTTCCTTCCATTTATTCCTTTTCCCCTATTTTCCCTCCCTCCCTATTTTTCTTTCCTCCCTATTTTTCCTTCCTTCCTTCCATTTATCCCTTTCTCCCTATTTTCCTTCCTTTCTTCCTTCTATCCCTTCCTCCCTATTTTTCCTTCCTCCCTATTTTTCCTTTCTTACTTCCTTCCATTTATCCCTTCCCTTGCGTTTATCCTTTTCTCCCTATTTTTCCTTCCTCCCTATTTTTCCTTCCGTCCTTCCATTTATTCCTTCCTCCCTATTTTTCCTTCCTTCCTTTCTTCTATCCCTTCCTTCCTATTTTTCCTTCCTTACTTCCTTCCATTTATCCTTTCCTCCCTATTTCTCCTTCCTATTTTTCCTTCCTCCCTATTTTTCCTTCCTTACTTCCTTCCATTTATCCCTCCCCTTGTGTTTATGCCTTCCTCCCTATTTTTCCTTCCTTCCTTCTGTTTATGCCTTCCTAGCTATTTTTCCTTCCTTCCTTCCTTTCTTCTATCCCTTCCTTCCTTCCATATATCAATTTTTATTGAAAAACATGTTCTCTTCTATATATTTTTGGTGGAACTGAATATCTAGCACAGTATCTTCCTAATGGATTGCTGCAGTTCAAAGTTGTTCCTTAACTTTGTAAAAATCAGATGTTCTCATTTGCCCTCTCCGCCCTGTGGAACGTTTCCGTGACTTGCATCCTGAGGAAGTGGCTGATTTATTTCACACAACACAAGCAGTTGGCAATATAGTGGAGCAACATTTTGGAGGAACTTCGCTCACCATTTCGGTTCAGGTTAGTACTAGGAGTGTGATTTGATTAGAGAGAAAAAAATTGATCACCTTGTCCTTATACATTGTTATACAAAAGCTCCCAAAATACAGTTTTTAAGGTTTATAATACCAAAAATAGTTCTTAAGGTATCTACCTGAAATTTCCTATGTGAAGTGGGGTTCACTATAGCAACATCAACTAAAAGTCAATATTGTAGCTACAGTAACTTAGATTTTTATTTCTTTTTCTAAAAAAACTCCTCGGTAATTAATTTAATGTCCTCTGGGACAATTCTCCAAATGCCCTAGGAGAGAGAAGAATGCATGCAATGAATAGTTTTTGCACATTTGCAAAAATAGCTTTCAAGAGTTAGAAACCATACCACAGCACAACACCATACTGCAACATTCATACAGGATTCCAGGGTTTAGCTAGGGTCAACAAGGCTGAGCAACCTGAAATCCTCAAAATCCATTAAAGACAGCTTCGACCATGTTATTCCATGTTGGCATACTACCATAAAACAAGCTATAAAGCATATCCTGACTGAACAGGGTAATGAAGTTTCATATATTAATTTTAATCTTGGATTTAAGTATAAATAGCTTTTTAAGCTGCCCACAGAATGTGGGTCTTGTACAAAAAGCTGGTCCTCCCACCAAGTGGATAACTCTGTTTAGTTTCTGGGACACAGCTGTGAACGAATGGGTTGCACTGGTTACTTCAGACCTTTTGTTAAAATCATATTAAACCAAAAAGGGCATCCTACTATATTATGTCTGCAAACAGCACATCTTTTCTAAACAGTCCCCATAAATCTTGATGAGCACCAACATTATTAAGAGCATCTGTGATCTGAGATGGTGAAGACCAAGAGGAACAAATGTGCCAGAACTTTTTCTCCTCAGTTCCATCATTTCCTATTGGATTTGGGACTGAAATAGAAAGGTGTCTGTTCCCAAATACTTTGGTGCCAGATCATCCCCACAAGAGTGCGATAAATTAATGCACAATGAAATTAAATTTAAATTATTAATGGGCAATTGTTTTGAATGCCCGGGAGAATCTTGTTGGCTGTTATTATCTAATTCTCTCCCCCACTTTCCTTTCCTCTCTTTTCCTCTCTTCCACTTCTCCCCACAGGATGGTCCTGAAGCTGGTCAGACTGTGAAGGTGAGTGCTTATTTTATTATGCAGAGTACCAATTAATAAGAAGCAATTATATGAACGAATAAAACCACTCAGCTGCAACACATTGCTGCGTTGCTGTTTTATCCTTGAAGCCAAAGGATCCCTCAGTTGTTAGTATCAGTAAATATATTGATTGAAATGGGATGGTACAATATGCTTACATCTCACCTCTTTTACTAACCATTGTCATTTAACGGTACCTCTTGGTCACTACTGTAGTCCGTGAAATCCTTCTATCTTGTATAGTTGTCTTCTAAAAATGTGAAAGGGGTTCTGTTTCTGGCATTTCAGGTAAGATTTTAAGAGCACGTAAAAACTCCTCCCATATTAAACCATGAAGGGCCAGGGTTATTCAGAGTTTTGCAGCATTAATTCAGCGCCAGAAAAATAAACACAGATGGCTGATGCTTCATTTAATGTCTTTATAAACATAATAAGTAAATTTTACAAACCAGTTGTAGATTTCTCCAAAATGGAGCAAACTCAAACAGAAACATGTTGCAAGTAACTTCAGCAGCAGGAGCAAAAACATCAGTTTTATTTTAGATCAGCAGGCAAGCATTATACACAGCAGAGGAGAGAAGCAGTTTCATTTTCAATAGACAGAGTCAGAGCTCAACACAGCTTCAGAGCTTCAGAGCTTAATATTATAGAGCCATGCCTAGGCTACTTCTAGTTTCAGTTTCCAGCCTAGGCTGCTTCTAGTTTCAGTTTCCAAAACAGTCCTCATTGGCTGATTTAGTTGCTATGCCTATTCATTGGCTGACCTTGTTACCATGCTCTATTCCAGTTCATGAATATACTCTGACAAGGCTTAGCTTGTGGTTGTGGTTGTTGTTTAATTAAAACTGTAGGAAATACCGACTGGGACATACAGAAAAGCCACACACTTTTTCATGAAAACGTTTTGAGCCCGATAATTCATTTTCGATAAGAACTGAACAAGTACCATTGTACATTTTGCACACAAAAATGCAATTCTAACTATTTTCTGCATTTTAATATTATACATTTTTGTGGGAATTAGGTTTTCTCAGGGAGAAAGTCCAAGTTCAATAATTGGGATTCCATTGACTGAAAATTGCTTAGAGCAGGGGTGTCAAACTCAAATTCATCGGGGGCCGCATCAGCAGTTTGGTCCCCATCAAAGGGCCGGTTGTATCTGTAGGTCTATGTGTCCACTCTTTATTATCATAAATTAATGTCACTGCATTCAATTATTACTGTTTTTTGTAATAATGTAAGTAATAACTAGCTCTGAAAGCAGAAACATAGTCAGAATAATGACAAGTAGATATTCAAATGTACAATTATTGTACAATGTATTGAAAAATGTTTTTGGGTAACAAACATTAATTTTTTTTTAAACATACAAATATTGCCAAACACTGTTTATTAAACATATGGAAAACACAAGGCATTACCTTTTTTTTAACTTTACTGACTAGATGGCTGACATCGTTTTCCTAAGGTCAGTCCATCGATGTTTGGCGTTAGGTCTTGTGCTGTAGCAATCCGCAAAACAGCATGGAGGTTATCATCAGTGATGCGTGATCTGAGCTTGGTCTTGTTCAGATTCATGACTGAAAACATCTGTTCACATAGATAAGTGCTCCCAAACATGGACAGAACACGTGCAGCTTGAAGTCGGAGCTGTGGCATCAAAGCAGGGGGGAGGAGACGGTAAAAGTCGTCGACTGTCGCATCCTGGAACTTCGCTTTCAGGCTGCTGTTGGACTGCCCCCTTTTATAGTGCCCAGCCATCTGCCCCCTCCATTTACTTTACTTACCTTTCTTTCTTTTACTTCTTTCTTCTTGCTCCTCTCCGCGGCGTCCGCGCGCTCCTCTGATCCCTGGAGATGTCGGGCGGACGTCACGTGATGACGTCACGTCCGACACCCAGGGAGCAGTGCGGGGCAGGAAGAAGTCGGGCCAGGTCCCGGAAGGTAAGTAAATTTTTTTTTTTTTTAAACTTGAGCCATTTTTAAAATGAATTTACTCCGTGCAGGCACGGAGTAAATTCATTGAAAAAAAAAAGGGGGAGGCTGCAAGGCTGGCGGCGGCACCGCGGGCCATCAGACGAGGTCTGGCGGGCCGGATTTGGCCCGCGGGCCTTGTGTTTGACACCCCTGGCTTAGAGACTTCCATTTGATACAGTTCTAATTTTTCTCCATCCTTGGATCTGTCCATGGTCCTACACTCCATAATGGCAAGCTAGATGCTGTCAGAGAATGAAGTCATCCTTCTTCTTGTCTATGGAGATTCTCAACCATTCAGGAAATGGTTGTCCCAAAGGTATTTTTTCAAGAGGCATTGGACTTTCTTTGTTTTCCCTTGAAGACTTCTTCTATTTTGACGGAATTGTCAAGAGTAGAAGGATTTATGTTCCTTGCAGTCATCTGATAGATGAGGTGAATAATTTGAGGACCCGTGCTTTAGATTATGAGAGATGTTAACCCATCTTGGTTTTCTATCCCTAACTCCATATATGGGTTTTTGAGAAGTTAAAACTTCATGCCTTTGTAGGATAGCAAGGCTCTTTGCTTAATCAGCCATTCTCCTTTCTAGAGATTACAATTAAATACTGTTGAGGTTTCTACAAGCTGATAGCGCTTAGTCAAGTAACTGAAGAAATCTGGGACAAGGTAGCTTTAGCTAAGCTGCTAATAGGAGATCTAAGGGGAATCTGCCCCATCATCCAGTCAGAGCTGAAGAAGCTTCTTGGATGAGAAGCGAAACATCTTCAAAGAAAAAACAGAAAGTCCAGTTGCTTCTTGAAAAATCACCTTTGGGTCATTTTCCTTTTCTTAATTCTCATCCAGCAGAGAATGTCTCTAAAAATAGTACTTCTATAGGTAGCCAAATTATTTTATCTTTCTTCACTTTGTAAAGATTCTCTCTTTAAAAATGACTTCTGCTTTGCTACATAGATTATGCTTTTCTGAGGTCAGTTTTAAGTGATGTCCTTGAAGTCTAATAGATTGAGAAAGATACTTTTATCCATCTCTTGTTACTTCTTCCTCATAGCAAACTATTTCTACAATTTCTGAGCAAGCTGGACTTTGATTTAATTCACTCACAGATGCCCACTCAGATCAAACATCTTTGTCTTCTGATTGACTGGTTATCAAATGTTTTGCATCTGACTTTATGAGTTACTTCTCTTAGAAGGATTAAGACTGAAATGAGTGAGAGAAAAACTGTGATAGTCATTCTATCTGCCATGCATTTGCGATGATACTCCTTGACTTCTGCATCGAACTACATAACCCCCGATCAGCAACTAATTTGGTTAGTTGGCATAATCAGGCAGTGAATAAGTTCATATTGAATATGACCCATCAGGATTTCTCATCTGAATTACTTCTGATCTTAGCACCTGCCCCAGCCCCATTCCATTTCCCCTGCTAAGATTCATCATTGATTTGATAGAATGTAATCAATCAACAAATGAATTATAACCTTTTCCAACCGCCTTCCTCAACACAGGAAATTGTACTTTTATTTTTGAGAGACAGTAGGAGGGAGCAATGGAAAAAATGCCTGTGGAGAAAGATAGTCCCCTCTTCTATATACCAAAGAAGGCTGAGAGTGGCTGCTTTCCTCCACATAGAAGAAAGAACTGCTGCTACACCATCATCATCTTCTTTTAATGATTCCATAATCCCTTGCAAGGTAAAGCCTGGAGAACTGAATGGAGCTAGCAGAGTGTTTACTGGCCGGATGCCTTTCCTGTCGCCAATGCGGAGTTTTGTTCAGCAGATATATTTTCATTGTGCCCAGAGAGAGAAATATCTGCTCTACTTAGAATCGAACTCACCACCTCTGGATTGTGAGGTGAGACCTCCACCGCTAGGCCACCACACCACTCCTAACTGTTGCTATACCACGCTCAGGTGTAATTCCCAGATGCAGTTTTCTATCCAAAGTGGTCATTTCAGTCATGGTAGTCCCGGTCCTTAAGATCATTCAGCCCACTAAAGATCTGAGGTAGAAAGGATGGAGTCAGAGAATTATGAGAGCTGGGCTTGTATGCTGCTGCTGACCTGTGCTATGGCTTCCTCTGCTCTGTTTCTTCGTTCTTGTCCCAGCTGCTTTGCAAAACAGTGTACTTGGGTCAATCCTACCGGGTACACCAGACTAAGAAACCTATGCCATATAGGTCAGAACTCCTTTTATTGCAACAACTACAATAACAGAATCTTGAAGACTAAATGAGCCTGCTTTCCCTTCATGTGAGCTAGCGTGGGGTTTGTCTGAGGCATTTTGTCAGGTTACTTTTTTTGGCCTTGGCTCAAGTCCCTCTTATCTGACTGTTGCCATGGTAGCTATTCTTCCTTCTGTCCTTCAAGGCCATCCCCTCTACCCTTTACAGTCTGATGTACCGGAGGAGTCACCATGGCATGATCTTGACTATTATATAATATTGATGGTGTAAGGATAGGTTACTGAACATTTAATTGCTACCTGTGTATTTGGCACAATCACATACAATTTCAGGAGCACTGGAGTTATGCCTGACTTTCTGATGCTTGGGTATTTTCAGATTCTTTTTTCTGATCCTTTTTCAGTTAAGGACGTGTGGATATGGTGGCCATTCCACTTACACAGCAATGATATGATTTTGATCCTGACATTATATGAGTATAAGATTTCTTAGCGGAAGTCCTTGTTCGGCTTGATTCACATAATCTTAACAATTGACAATAGCAAATGAAAGCAATTCTCTTCTTTTCCATTTCATATGTTGACCTTATTTGTGATCTCCTTTTTTATTGCCTCAGAATAGCTCACAAGGCTGGAGGAAAGAGAAAGAAATGAAAAACTAAAAAAGCACTTAGCACATCTCAAGCGAATTGCTGGGTCAGAGATTCAGAAATCTTACTGGGGGGTGGGAAAAAGCCCAGAAGAGATTTTTTAAAATTTCATGGCCCATTTCCAGCTTTTTAATTCATCTTCATTCTGCTTCTCCCTATCCAATG